CACCTGAGAAACACCATGAGCGCCGCTGCTGAGAGAATTCATATCTTGGGGTCAAACTGGAAATATGCGCTTGCTGGAACTCCGTGGCCCAAGGCCGCGAGAAAGGGAAAAAAAAAAAACAAAGTGATTCAAGGGAATAAAGGGGAAGCCGTTGTGGAAAAATGGAAAAGAAAAAGGGCATGGGCCAAAGAACATGTGGTGAGAATCAGATGAGGTCCAGTCAAGCGCGCGATGTGCATGCAGAAGAGGAAAACTTGAGATCGCCCATGTAAATGCCGCGAAAATCCACAAGATGCGAGAAATGCCAATTAGGAAACCGTGAGAAAATGACCATCCTCCAGACCGTCCAAGGACATGCCCAGCATCGAATAAACGCCAATGCCCTGGAACGCCGAATCTAATGCATATCGGAAACTGCTAATAAATAGTCAAGCGTGACATAGCACAAAGGTTCAAGGGCGAATCATAGCCGAGGCTGTCACCGAATGGTACCCCATTCAGCCAGCTTACTGCCTTCACGACCGTGCTCTCTTCCTGGTCTCTTGTTGAAGATTTTCCAGAAACGCAGAGTCTCGTCGCCAGCGCCAGTGACGACAGTTTGGCCATCCGGACTCATAGCCAGGTAAAGTACACGGAAAGTATGTCCGGTCAAAGATACGATTTGCTCCATGCGGGGGTATTTCCAGATCACGATCTGGTTTTGACTATACCCGTGGGTGCTGATAATCTCATCCGAGTTTTTCGACCACGCCAAGTTACAAACCTGGCTTCCTGTGTCAACCTCTTTGATTAAGGATCCCGTTGACGTGTTCCAGAACTTGATTGTTCGGTCCGCCGTCCCACCGCCCGAGGCTAGGAGATGGTGCTGATGAGGTGACCAAGCAATCGCTTTGACCGCGGCTGTGTGATCGGAGAAGCGATAGAGAGGGGTTTCGTTCAGCTTGTCCCATACCAATAATTTGTTGTCGTTACCGCCAGAAGCTAATTGGCCATCTTCCGTGTTCCACCTGAGACCACACACCTCTTGCTTGTGACCGGACAAACGGCGCAAGAATTGATCTGGCGAACGAACGTCTCGGTGGAAAATCAGGCGATCTCGTGACCCCGACGTCAGAATGTGGTCGTTCCAGGCTAGCGCTCCGACTCGATTAGTGTGCCCGATCATCGTTCTTAGACGGCGACATCGCTCTGCGTCCCAAATCTGTACGAGTCCTTTGCCTGTCCCAATTGAAAGGTGAGTACCCTAAATTCACCGAGTTTTGAGTCAGTATCGAAGATTTCCGCCTGTTGGACATCTGGCACCTACCCGTTGAATCCAGCTCACACTCGTGACAGTATCATCTTTCAGTTCACACAGCTTCGTAACCCTTCCAGTCTGCGAATTCCACATATAGACCGAATTACCTAGACCGACACCAAGAACATTACTGCTTCCCCAATCCACCAGATTCAGGTAGAAGTCGTCTTGTAAATCGGGGGCGTCAAGTACTTTGTAAGGCACTTTGTTAACGTAGCGGGGCTGTTTGCGGGGTGTTTCTAATATACGTTGGCTGTCGTATCGGATCGGAGAAAGGCTGTAGAGCTCTGATCGAACGTTCAAATTGGGACCATGTTGACTTCGAGGGGTCTTGGATGGCGTCGGATGACCAGATCCAGCGCGTGAGGAGGCATAGTTGAAAAGGTTTTTATGGGGAGTAGACGGCGTTATACTGGCTGGGGGGAGATTCGATACGACATGTGACGGAGGTGTGTGAGAGCGAGTCTTGTCGTTAATTCCGTTCGCAAAGCCCAGCAGCGGATCCGGTGATAATGAGTCTAGGTCTGCCTGCGGAACGGTGTTTCCGAAAAGCTCACTCCGCAAGACCCGTGAGTACATTCTGTTTGCTTCTTCGGCTGAGCGGTCGTTAGCCCAAGAGATCAGCGTCACATGTGTATGCGAACTTACTCTTTTGAAAATGAAGCTCCGAATGGGGAGCGCGTTTCTTGGATTTAGAGGGAGTAGAGGGGCAGCCGTCCTCATGAAGGAGGCTGTAGGTTGCCTGCAGGTCTTGCCCTTCGCGGTTGGGAATAAATCTATGAGGCGGCATAGGCACGTTAGCAAAAACCTTAAGGGATTGCTTCACAATATGCTCGACATGGCTGAGCTGATGTGGCAAGGTGCCAGAAGTATGGTGCTACTGACCTGTCGCCGTATACTCGTTGCCTCTTCCGACTGGGGCTTGTCCCGGGTGTTCTCTCGCGAGGATTGCCAGCGTCCTCGTAGTCCTTTAAAGCCTTCGCGAGTGCATCGGGGTCGATCGCTTCTGAGGTATTTCGACTTTTTGGCTGTCTCCCTTGCGGTTCGGGGTAGAAAAGGGTCTTCTTTGCTGGCATACTAGGGGGTGTTCTTGAGCCAGGAGGGGATGCGATAGACAATGCGTTGGCAGCACGTTCCGGCGACTTCCCACTTCTTGCTGCGCTGCGGGTAGCAGGAGAATCAAACCTCCGGGGGTCGCCCATGGTTTCGAGGGAGGGGTGAGCGATTCTCACGAGGTACAGTACAAATGGCGGTCGAAAGCGGGATCAAGTCAGGTAGGGTCAATGCGACAGATCCCCACGGTCGATGAGTCGCAAACGCAGCGAGATGCGAAGTCAAGCCAGAAGAACGGCGATTCTCGTAGGTCTATTATTTAATGGGTCGTTTATTGGGTCGAGCAATCGGCGCTTTCAAGGTTCGTGGGGTGAGGTGAGAGTTGGGAGTGTTGACGACAACAGGCGAGCCCTTGTGCTCCGCTCCGGGCTTAATGAAACCAAATAAACTTGGGAAGTAGGCGGGCAGTGAGGATAACGGCGGCAAGGGAATAGAACAGACAGAGTCTCTCACCAGACCCAGGAATGAATTGATAGAATGACACAAATTGTGGAGGTCATTTGAGATTGACCCGACCACCTTGGGGTTGGTGAGAAAGAAGAGGGAGAAGGGTTAGGTTGAGACAAGATCAATCCAAGGAAGGGTTGGCTGGCTGGCTGGTTGGCGGCGGCGGACACTCCCTCCCTCTGGGCTGTCGCTCGACCGTTCCAGCGAAGGGGAACTTTCTTTCCAGAGTCCACCCACCGCACTCAATCACGCGTCGGGTGCGCTAATCCGGTTTGGGAACAACACAGGGAGGTTGGCCTGACGCTGCAGTTGAATTGACTTAAGATGATGATTGTCCTTTCCTTGGAGAAACCAAATGATTAAAAAAAAAAAGAAAGAAAAAATTTCCCAGCGAATTGAAACTCAAGCAAATGACTACCTTGGTGAAAACAATCACCTCTCAATGATCCTGTGGTGGTCATTCATATATACAATGTCCTCCTGGGTTGGCAGTAAGTGGAAAGATGGGGAAGCCCCATCGCCGTCATGTGTTGGTCGCGCGGCTGCAGCTGATGATTTAATTATTATTGTTTATCGCCTGCAAGTTGGTTACCACCGACTACTATCGACTTCCGATAGCCTCCCTCTCCCCCACTAAAACAACCTCGTAAAACAAGTTGTGAGCATGGAGAGCAATATCCTCCTTCCAGTCACTCAATCAATAAATCAGACTTGATCGATTGATCGCTTCTTTATTGGAAGAAAAGAAGACTTGATCCGAATTCATCGTCTTTTTGTTGTTCATTGACGCGAAGCGCCGACCTGGTGATTGGATCAGGGTGACTGTTATCGAGCGTGCCAGGGCCACGAGCACCAGCAGCGCGACCGCCTCTCATTCCACGCGCCCTGCGAAAGAACGCGCGATGGGCGAAGCTTGGGCCAGTCCCTTCCTCCAACAGGAGACTTTTCGACCACAGAACCCCGATTAATTCAACCTGCCTGCAGTTGATCCCAGTCGCAGCAGTACTCTCTGACTGGACTTGCTCTTCCGTGTCACAACCGCCGCTTGAGTGGCGTTCAATTCCCCGTTTCGATGATGCAGTCGATCTAAGATAACTAGTAGATGGTCTACTAAGATACTCTAGTGCCTGGACCAGGAATCCGAGCCAGCCCACTTCATCCGGTAGATCAGGGCAGATCCCAGCGAGTCAGCGAATGTTCGGGACTCCTTTGAGCCTAATTTCTCGTGTCTCGGGTCAGTCAATAAGTTATCTATGATCTTTGTCTCGAATATTTCATCGGCTTCTCTTTCTTTGACTCTTTCGACCAAACACTAGACGCGACCTGACGCGATTAGTCCAACGAACTACATTGATTCGACATGCTGCCATGACTGTTCATAGCACTTCTTCGCTTGTCTTCTCGTCGCATACTATCGAGTTTACAGTTTAGAACTGCAATGGAAGTCCGTTGGGTTAATTAAATTTGTCCCGATATGGAGATCTTCATCTGAAGCTCTCATGAGCCTTGCGTCTGCCAATTCTGATCGGTCATAGAGCTGCTTCGCGGGTAATTCATGTACGCTAGATCAGCATTCACGCTTTGCGCATGCAATTGATGCGATGCTCAATGAGCAATGAGTACCGACTATAGCTGCTTCCACAGTTGCATTCTGCCGTCAGCCTGTTCCTTCCCTGTCCGAACTCAAGCGCACTTCCGTGGGTATCTATCTCTCTGCGGGATAAGCGCGCATTCGTACAATGCCCCAACATCACCTTGTTGGAGTCATGATCATCTTCCACCAGCGATGAGTGCCAACGAGGCATTGATCAAAGTAGCGATAATATCAGTCGCACTAGTGACCATTACCGCGTTGGGCATAGGCCTCTATTTTGTGGCCGCAGCTTTCAAGACAACTGAGTATGTACTGTGCAATCCGGCAAAGCTACCGCGCTCCAAACTAAGAGCTTCGTCATAGTCCCCAAGTTGGTTTGCTTCCCATCCGTCGATAAATGATAAAGTGGGCGGGCGGTCAGCGCGTATCACGTGGAGACGCGTCCCGACACGCTTTCAGGGCTGTCGCCGCCGTGTTCTCCGAGCATACCAAAGTAGCGTCAGCACCGACAAGTCGAGTAGTATTCGCCTCAACCTTCAGCAATTGGAGATGGCTGCGAATTTCTTCAGCAACAAAGCCCGGGCTGCAGCTGCAGCTTCGGGTACCTCCAAGCAAAAGCCAACGGATGGAAAGGATGAACAAGGTCGACAACAACCATGGGTTGAGAAATAGTAGGCGCTCTCCACCCAATGCTCCCTTATGTGCCAGTCACGTTGACCACGAAATAGTCGTCCCAAGACTCTTGATGATGTCGCCGCACAAGATCACACCACCAAGGTTCTCCGACGCACGTTGCAAGCTTCTAATGTACGACGAGCTCCGAACTCTGCATGGCCACCTAAGCTCCAGGAATACTGACGGGCGATCTCTAGCTCCCCCATATGCTTTTCTACGGCCCTCCCGGTACCGGAAAGACTTCCACAATTCTTGCTCTCGCAAAGTCGCTCTTTGGTCCTACTCTCTACCGCTCGCGCATCCTTGAATTGAACGCTTCCGATGAACGTGGTATTGGCATTGTGCGCGACAAGATCAAAAACTTTGCTCGTGCCCAACTCAGTCACTCAACAGGCATGGGTGCGGAATACCTGGCCAAATACCCGTGTCCCCCATTCAAGATCATCATTCTCGATGAGGCAGACAGTATGACACAGGACGCGCAGTCCGCTCTTCGTCGTACCATGGAGCAGTACAGTCGGATCACCCGTTTCTGCTTAGTCTGTAACTATGTGACTCGTATCATTGAGCCGCTGGCGAGTCGGTGCAGCAAGTTCAGATTCAAAGCTTTGGACAATACGGCGGCGGGAGATCGGCTGGTCCAGATCGCCAAGCTGGAAAACCTGAGATTAGAAGAGGGTGTGGTTGACAAGCTGATCAGCTGTAGTGAAGGTGATTTGCGACGTGCGATCACCTATCTGCAAAGTGCGGCCAAGCTGGTTGGGGCCGGTAGGGTCGAGAAGAAGGACGATGACGAAGATACCGAGATGGCAGATGAAAGCTCGGAATTGATCACTGTCAGGACCATCGAGGAGATCGCTGGTGTTGTCCCTGAGAGCGTTTTGGATGATTTGACCCGGGCTCTGCAGCCGATGAAGGTTGGGTCGTCTTATGATGCTGTTTCAAAGGTGGTCACGGACATTATTGCAGATGGATGGAGTGCCAGTCAGCTTCTTCTCCAGGTACTTCTATATTCTATTTCCGAATTTCGCTGGTGGAGTCTCAATACTAACCCGGTGCAGCTGTATCGGCGCATGATCTACAACGATGCTATTCCCGACATTCAGAAGAATAAGATCGTGACGGTCTTTTCGGAAATGGACCGTCGTCTGGTTGACGGAGCTGACGAGCACCTGACCATCCTTGACGTCGCACTCAAGATTTCTGGCATCTTAGGCGGCGCGTAGTCGTCGAAGATCGGCTATACCACTATTTTCCTCTAAGCGTTGAGCGACGTCATTCCATTGGCAGGCCTCGCCTGATAGTAGTATCAGGAGGCCAATTGACGCGACCCATCATCATCCGAAAGATACAGATGCTTACAGGATGCTGCCTCACCCAAACCACCAGAATCTGTCATCTTCTTTCATACATCGCTTCCTATAGCACGGAAGTATACAGTGGAGCCGGTACTCGTGGGAAACAATCGGACGCGCTCACAAAACCCGATTCTGCAACTTGGAGTGAAGCCAAGACTTACGACTGTATGAAACATAATGAACAAGTCAAAACATGCTTCTCTCTAATTCAATTCCAATGGGGACCCATGTAGCTGTAGGAACGTCATAGATACACGGAGGGCTCCCAGCATCGCCGGTTCCTCACGTGCGGCCCGCTTCGTGGCTCACCGACGAGCCGGACGAGAGCCGGAATAGAGTGTGCCGCATCAACACTTCTTATGACTCAAATACTCTTTAGATTTTTGTTCTCTCCTTGCTCCTATACATACATTTGAGGCAGCAGCATATCGCGATATTGCAATAGACCCTTAGAGGACTGCATATAGACCGCCCACCACCGTCATGGCTTCCTCCGAGTACCCCGCATCCACCCACACTCCCCGCTATTTGACCGGCGACGCGGCCGGCATCCGTGAGTTCATAGACAAGTTTGATGTGAGTGTCTTCAGGGGGGTCCCTTTTGTGTCAGAGTACAGAGGCTAATTTATCATCCAGGTGTTCCTGTTTGACTGCGATGGTACGTTCTCGCGAAGTAGTCCCCTACAATATGAGACATGAGAGCTTCCGCGGTTCTACACCAACAGCACCTGCAACAAAGGATTGACTGACCACCGATCCACACAATAGGGGTTCTCTGGTCCGGGGACCACCTTTTCCCTGGCACAAACGAGACATTAGAACTGTTAAGAAGCAAAGGTATGATTCTCTTTTCCTGGGGACAGTCTGAGCTGCTCGCAGACCAGACCAGCTAACCTCTTTCCCAACCAGGCAAGCAAGTAGTCTTCGTGACGAACAACAGCACGAAATCCCGCGCCGACTACGTGAAGAAGCTCGCCGGATTAGGCATTCCCAGCTCGACGGTAACGTCCCCCTTCCGCGAGAGATGTCTCCCAATCTCGAGAAACACCCCCCCACCACTAATTCTTTTTGGGGGGAACAGGAAGAAATCTTCTCCTCCTCCTACAGCGCCTCCATCTACATCTCGCGCATCCTGCAACTCCCGCCCACCAAGCGCAAAGTCTTCGTGATCGGCGAAACGGGCATCGAGCAGGAACTCCGCGCCGAGCACGTCCCCTTCCTCGGCGGCACCGACCCGGCCTACCGCCGCGAGATCGCCCCGGAGGACTACCCGAAGATCGCCGCCGGCGACCCCAGCCTCCTCGACCCGGAGGTTGGGGTGGTGCTGGTCGGCCTCGACTTCCATCTCAACTACCTCAAGCTGGCGCTGGCGTTCCACTACATCCGCCGCGGCGCGGTCTTCCTGGCCACGAATATCGATAGTACGCTGCCGAACGCGGGGTCCCTGTTCCCCGGCGCCGGGTCGATGAGTGCGCCCCTGATCATGATGTTGGGCGGACGGGAGCCGGTGTCCCTGGGCAAGCCGAATCAGGCGATGATGGATGCCATTGAGGGGAAGTTCCATTTTGACCGCCAGCGCGCGTGTATGGTGGGCGATCGCGCGAATACGGATATCCGGTTTGGGGTCGAGGGGAAACTGGGGGGCACGTTGGGGGTGTTGACCGGGGTGAGCAGCAAGGAGGACTTTGTGGAGGGCGAGGTCAGGCCCGCGGCTTATTTGGATCGGTTGGCGGATTTGTTGGGGTGTGAGTGATTCTGATTCTGGGAGGTTTCTTGGGTGAGGGTTGGGAGAGTTAGGGGTATGTTTTGGACAACCGGGAGGGCGAATTATGATTTTGGCTCTTGTGTATGGGGTTAGGTTGCTTAGAATATAGAAGATATCCCTTTTCTTGTGAACCTCCGCTATGTACATATGGTGTTGCGGCGGGTGTAAGAATGACTTATCAGGAGGAAAGGTGAGGATCGAGGTGCGGGTCATCCCTCAACAGCCCCGCCAGCTTCCACAGGCCCAGCATCGCATTGACCGTGGGCTTGTCGTCCGGTCGAAAGAACACAGCCGCCTGGCCCTGGAACTTGGCACACGCAAGATCCTCCTCCGCCAGCAACCGGGTCATATCGAACACGGGCACCTTGGAATTCGTCTGCGGCAGATGGAAGAAGCTCGACAGGGGCAGCGGCGACGAGCCGGCGGTGCGCCGCAGCACCAGCACCGCACCCGTCTCCATGCGCGCGATGGGCTCCATCTTCGCCAGCGCCTCGACCAGCGCCTCCTCCTCCAGCTTTCCTCCGTCCTCCAGCGGCAGCACCGGGGTCCACACCTGCCTCTTTGGCGAGTCGTTCGGCTGCGTCGCCGCCCGCCGCAGCCGCTGGCCCACCTCGCGCCGCATCATCCGCGTCACGAACTGCGGCATGTCCTGGCGCCAGACGCACGACGCCATCATCGACTCCGTCATCGGCCCCAGCGGCGGCCGCCAGCGGACCGGGAACGTCAAGACGATGGCCGGGAACTTCCGCTTGGACTTGCGCATGCTCTCCGTGATCGTGTTCAGGAGCGTCAGTCGGTTGACCATCCGGAACCGCAGGTGACGGATTTCTTGGGAGGTTTGCGTCGTCTTCTGGTGATCCGGTGAAGATGATGACGGCGACGACGACGGCGATGGATCGGGTACGGGTACGGACACCGGTGGTAAGATCTCGGACGGGTGGATGAACAGACTCTTGCCCTCGGGGTGTTGCTCCAGACCCCAGCCGGTCATGAACTCGGTCGGCATGCGCTGCCCCGTCAGGGAGCATTGGCGGATCGGGGAGGCCAGCGCCACGGCCCAGGGATTCGTGGAGAGGTCATCTTCGGGGTTCGAGGGTTTGCTGCGCGCTTTCTTCTTGTGCAGGCGCTCGTAGCCGGGTTTGGGGTCGGTGAGTAATGGGGACTTGGGGAGGAGGGAGGACGGCGGGGGGAACTTCTTGGCTCGAGGTTTTCGGGTGGGTTTGGCAGGTGTTTCTTTGGGAGCGGTGTCTGAGGGTTGTTGTGCTGGTTGCGGAGGTTCAGGGTGAAATTCAGTCTCGTCGGTCGAGGTGGATAATGTGCGTATGCGATGATGGTTGTTGTGCTGAAGGGGAATTGGACCACGAATGGTGGTGCTGCTATTGTTGACTAGTTGACGGAATTGCCTCAAGCGCCAGGACGCATATGACATGCGACCGTAGAGACACTCCATTGTCTCCTTTGGTGGAAGTGGTGATGGTGGTGGATGGCGCGGTGAGCAGCTGGAACGGAGCGGTTGTTGGTGGAGAAAGCAGAAGTAGAAAAACCCGCGGAGGTGTTGGACGTTGACCGACGGCCGGCGCGCAAAGGCGGAGTCCTGCTTCTGTTGCTGCTGCTGCGACAGTCCTCCACCACTCCTCCGACCATCACCACTCCACCTTTCCTCCTCCTCCTCCTCCTCCTCCTCCTCCTCCTCCTTGCCATATCCTCCTCCCCGCTCTGGATTCACAAGTAATAGCTTCACAATGAATCCATCTCGCCCCCTGCAGCGAGCGAGCCGCATATTCAGCCGCCCGTCGGCCGTCCCGGCCCTGTCGCGGAGCTTCACCAGCTCCATCCCGTCGCTATCATCACTACCAGCTTCATCAACGGCCCGACCTGCGCGAGGATGGACGCCCACGCCGTTCGTCACCGAGACGGTGGTAAGTTCGAGTTCTCTCCCACAGCGTGTCAACCAAAAAAACAACCCACTAACCAATAATCAGGGCGGAGGCTGGCACACATGTACGTTTAACTCAGTACAACCATCAGCTCACTCAAATCAAACCCACAGCTTGCACCCAAACCTCACCACCACCACCACCACAACCCAACCCTAACTAACTCCCGTGCAACGCAGACGACATCTTCTCCCGCCTCCTCAAAGAGCGCATCATCTGCCTGAACGGCGAAGTCGACGAAACCATGTCCGCGTCCATCGTCGCCCAACTCCTGTTCCTGGAAGCCGATAACCCCCAAAAACCCATTCACCTCTACATCAACTCCCCGGGGGGGTCCGTCACGGCCGGTATGTCTACCTACCCCAATCCCAAAAACTTGAGTCCAATACCCCAAAACCTACCTCCCACCCACCGGATAACAACCCCCTGCATACCCCACCCCATACTGATTCTTTTTTTTTTTCGGAACAAAAAGGCCTAGCCATCTACGACACAATGACCTACATCGCCAGCCCGGTGTCGACGATCTGCGTCGGCCAGGCCGCGTCCATGGGCTCCCTGCTGCTGTGCGGCGGCCACCCCGGAAAACGGTACTGCCTGCCGCACTCGTCGATCATGATCCACCAGCCCTCCGGCGGGTACTTCGGGCAGGCCAGCGACATCGCGATCCACGCCAAGGAGATCCTGCGCGTGCGCAGCCAGCTCAACCAGATCTACCAGCGCCATCTGACGGGCAAGAAGGTGCTGTCGCTGGATGAGATTGAGAGGCTCATGGAGCGGGATTACTTCATGGGGGCGAAGGAGGCGTTGGAGATGGGCATCGTGGATGAGATTCTGGATCGGAGGCCCGGCGTGAAGGAAGGTGGAGGAGGTGGGGGTGAGGCGAAGGGGATGGATTCGGATGGTGGGGAGGAGTAGGTGCTTACCCCCGGGGGTTAGGGTTTGGGTTGGGTTGGGTTGGGTTGCTGGTTTCGGACCTTTGAGTGAAAAGGGGCGGAGGTTGATGCTTATACATACCCTGGTTTATTGTCTGTTTTTACTTTTGTGTTGTGTGATTGTATCTTTTATGGGATGTGATGTGATGTTGATGATCATATACTGATGATGATGATGAGCATGGGGATAGAAACTCCACTCCACTCAGCTTATCCTGCTTGATTGTGTTAGATATTAGACAATAAGTTAATCATGATGGACCACCCCTTACACTTGATCCTCGTTCTCATATGTTTGACAAATAGATTTGGTATATTATGACCTATTCTATACAATACAGGAGAATCCCCGCATCTACACCAGCCCAAGCGACCATGAAAAGCAGCAAGCCCCTCCTCTAAGCACTGACAATGCCATTGGCATCGGGAGCGGGATTGGGGTTATTAGCAGTGGCAGTGGCAGTGGCAGCAGTAGTCTGCGCATTCCGCTCCACCGACCGCCCATTCATCGCATCGCGAAACCCGGCCATGAACGCCGCCGCCTGCTGCGGATTCGCAAACCGCAACGAATTCCGCCCCGTCGCCGGAGTGTACCGCCATTGCTCGCGGACCACATCCACCAGCCCCACGTCCATGATCACCGCCTGGCCCGAGGCGAACTGGTCCAAGGGGTGACTATCCTTCGCCGCGGTCGTGCTCCGCCCAAGATGCAGGCCCGTCTCGGCCGGGTCGGCCAGCAACTCGGTCCGTTCGTCAATCAAGGTGTCATGGTCATGATCCTCGGGTCGTTCCTCCCTCGTAGGCCGTCGACTGTCGAAGGCCTGGGTCTGGTCATCTGTAGTAGGAGCTGTGCCTGCACCCCGGAGAACACCCCGCTCTTCGGAATCGTGATCCTGCCCCAGCCCGTTGATGATCGCACTCAGGATATTACTTCTTGAGGTCGCCGTACCGCTCGGTTGTTGATGTTGCGCCTCGGCCGTCTTGACTCTCTCCACCACCAGCCCCAACATCACCAAATCCAGGAGGAGAACCAACACATCCATGGACAGCAGCCTAATCAGCGGGACGGGCGCCTTCTGGCCGATGAAGTCGATGAACAAGCCCCCGTGGATATACCCGCGGGTCTCCTCGCCGGCTTCCGGCGCGGCGAAGAGGGTATGGCAGAGCATGCAGAACAGATTACTCAGGAAGATGGCGCCGACGAAGGGCTGGTTCCGGGTCGGGTCGAAGGGCGGGGCTTTCGGGGTGAAGAAGATGAGCTGCACGATGGCGCGGAGGGCGAAGAGGATGATGGAGCAACTGCCATACACAAAAGGGTTTATGATTTGTTAATAAAATGAATACTGGGGGCCGGGGGGGGGGGGTGGTTGTGGTCGGATGTGTGATAATATGTTCGTTGAATCTACAAAAATGACGACCGGCGGAAAAAGAGATCTGGGGCTGGGCTAGATGCTCACTCCATATAATACAGCGCGGAGAGCTCGCAGTAGATGAGGATATCGAGATCGCGGAGGAGCCGATCGATGAATGCGACCTTGGCGGTGGATTGGATCTTTTTCATGCGCTCATCGTAACTGCCGTTGCTGCCGCTGGTGCTGCTGGTGGACGGAGATCCGGCGACGAGGCCGGGCGATAAGCCGGACACGTCAGCGAGGTATTCCGCATCTCGATACACATCTGGAGTGGTCATAGAGGGTCATGAGGACATGGATGATGCGATCAGAGAGGTCAGAAAGTGGGCAGGTGTTTGGGAAGGGTGGAAAGATGAAGGGAGGGGAAGTCAAGCAGTGAGTTAATCAGGAGAAGTGGAGTGGAGGAGGGATGGAATGGAGGGCGGAAAGCGGAGGCGGAGAAGGACAAGGCACCTGCGTCAGGCGATGGCGGCTTTTCCTCGGTCCGACGGAGCTGAGGCTACTAAACTACAACCACAGTACTAACATTTAGCGCGAGCTACACTGCAACACTAGCTGAATGATAGTGAGGTATTTCTCATAAACAGGCTAGACTATGGACGGTGGTCTATTCTAATCCACCAAAATCGTCTTGGAGAGGTCGGCGTAGTGCTTGAAGAAGCTCGTAAACAGCCGGATGGAATGGCCGACATCATAGGTACCTCCAGTCTCGCGGATACTGTGCATGCTGAGCTGAGGGTTGCCCAGATCCAGAGTACGAGCTCCCAGCTTGGCTGACATCATGGGACCAATGGTACTGCCGCAGCTGGAGTCGTTGCGAACAACGAACAGCTGCAGGGGCACCCCCTCACCACCGTCCTCGGCGGCCTTGCGAGCAACCTCCTGCAGAAGAACAATTCCAGGAGAGTTGGTCGCGTAGCGCGCATTGGCGTTGATCTTGATCACAGGTCCCTTGTTGATCTGCGGCCGGTGGTCGTTCTCGTACTTGGGGGAGTAGTTCGGGTGTACACCGTGCGCCATGTCGGCGGAAAGAAGGAATGAGGTAGACAGAGTCTGCTCATAGGCAGTGGAAACGTCAGCATCACCACCGGCCGTTGACGGCAGCACTGAGAGACGACGGATAACGGCAGGAAGCATGTTGGAGTCGGCGCCCTGAGCGGTACGGCTGCCAATCTCTTCGTGGTCGAACAAAGCAATGAGACGGATGGACGACTCGTTGTCCAAGGCCGAAGCATCGGCCACAGAGTCAATCAGGCCAACGGTGGCACAGAAAGAGCTGTTCAGGTTGTCCAAGCGGGGAGAAAAAATGAACTCGTCCAACAAGCCACCCAGGTTGGACTTTTGCGTATCGAACAGAATCATCTCAAAGTCGAGGATATCGGCAGGCTTGGCGCCGGCTTCGGCGGCGATGAGCTCGACCAGGTAAGGGTGGTGGCGCTCAGTGATCGCCTTCAAAGGGGAGAATTCTCCTTCATCCTCTGCAGTGTTCTCAGCCTTGGTGGTCTCACTGGCACCGGTGCGGTTGAGCTCGGCCTCCACGAGGCCGGCGATGGGGAAAAGCTGGGTCTCCTTGTTGAAGGAAAAAGTTTCCTGGCGGTCAAGGTGAATAGCCAGGGTAGGGATACGCAGAACTATTAAGCCTGTTAGTTACACACCCTGAAAATCTCAGAGACAGTTCATACTAGGCCGGTCAATCTTGATCAGCTTCTGCGCAATCGAGCCGTCGCCGTTGCGCACCATGGCCCGACCCGCAACTCCCAGATCACGGTCGAACCCTGTGAGCAGTTAGCACCGAGTATTACATGATCAGAAGAGGGTAAGCGCACACGTATGCCAGATGCCCCCTCCGTAGGTCTCGACACCCACTTGGACATAGCCTTCCCCGCGCTTGTTGCTGACAGGCTTGACCCGCAGCACGGGGGAGTCGGTGTGAGCCCCAATCATGGAAATGGGGTTACCAGGCTGTTGAGTGTCAGCGTCAGTTTTCCAAATGAGGGAAGATCGTCGACTAGGCACATACCTGCCACTTCTTGCCGATAGCAAAGGCCACAATGGTAGACTGGTTACGAGTGACATAGTATTTTCCGCCGGGACGGCAGGTGGATGCCCAAGGGTCCTTCTCCTGCAGTGGTATTAGTAGCTGATCTCAAATTCTATGAGATAATCGTCGGTACCTTGATCTCTTGGAAGCCAGCCTTCGCGAGGAGGTCCTTTGCAGATTGGACTGCATGGAAGGCTACATGGCTCGGTCATGTTAGAATGGCTTCTCCACCAGGCACAGATAAGGCAGTATGATAGGGGAGGAGCTTACGGGTGGGAGAGGCATTGACATAGGACAAAAAGTCCAGAGCCGGCTGTTTCAGGTTCTGGGCGAGCTTGGAAGTCATCTTGGAGGACCTTGGGATTTGACAGAGAAACCGTGGGGTGGTGCGGAGGAGAAAATCATGGGCCATGATAACTTAGTGGCCATGAGATCATGCCAAGGCGGTCAGTTCATTTGACAGCTTTGACGCGGGGAAAGGTCCATCCATAAACAATCGCCCGTGCTTCTAGGGCTGCTGAAGGGTCTACTTGATCGGCCATACGTTTATTGAGACTACAGTCTGTTGGAGACAGAGACATCAATGAAGACGTTGAATTCGCTATAGATATGCTTCTATAGTTCATCCCTATGGTGGGGAACCTCGGTAGCTTCAAACATCCTCTTCTTAGGATTCCTTGGCAGCTCCGCTTGCCTCTGCCTTTCCTCCGGCGAGATGTCATCTATGTTGGTCTCCTCCTGCTGTTCAATCTCCTCTACCAATTCACCGATTTGGTCAATCAAGCGGTCCTCCTCCGTTTCATCCGTGACAGGGACCTGGTCCCATACTGCCTCTTGCTCCGCAATCTGCACGGTCGGTTCCACCTTCGGAGCCACAACCGGGGTCTCTTGCACCAACTGAGCGACAGGAGTAACGGATTCAGAGGCCTGGACTGCCCGACTGGTCATGCCCACCACGCCTAGAATTGCAAAGGTAGATCGTGCCAGTAGTCGCACCGGCAGCCACACAAGCCACCACAGAGGACCGTAGAGTATGCGTCGGAAGACGAGCCAAGCGATAGTTCCAAGAAGAATGTAAAACGCCGTCTCCAAGTACCAAGTGTCGGACTTCTGCGACCGAAGGAGAGAGCCAACAAGATTTCGCGACGAGGCGAGGAGCGAATCCAGGTCCGTGTAAGATTCCGACAGCGACGAGAGGGCAGCGGTGGATTGCTCTGTAGATTTCGCGACAAACGATTAGCTCCGCGGCGTTCGCTCTAGATCTTTCTGCAGGGAGGCAGCAACAGCAACGAACCTAGTGTCTCCTGCGCGAATTGGCTCCGCGACAACTCGGACTGCATCAACTGATGCGTCCGCCGCAGCGCCGCCGTAACATCGTTCGAAGCGTTCTTCACGATCTCATCCTGCGTCAGCTTCTCGGCGGGCTGGTTCTTCCTGTCGGCGCTCTGGGACCGGGAGAACAGCAACTCCCTCTCTTTGCGGCGTGCGGTCTCGGCATTGCGTTTCGCTTGTAGCTGCGCGTTCCGGAAATCTCTTCTTGTCCTGCGCCTCGTTGTTAGCACCCATCTGTCCGGAGATCTGGCCTCGATAAATCTAGACACCATGCAAAACACATACCTCTTCAGCTCCTCTGCTAACCGCCCCGCCAGCGCGACCACGCGCTCCCTCTCCGATTCCTTCTCGTTGTCCAACGCCTTCCGTCGACTCTCGGGACCTGCCTCGAGACCCTCCACCTCCACCCGCAACAACTCCAACTGATCCTCCGCCCCTTTCAGAAGCGCATGGATCTCCGTCCCCAGCTCCAAGCGCGCCTCATCACCCTGTCCAATAGCGGTCGTAAAATTCTGCAGTCGCGAAACCAGCGGATGGATATCGGCCAGAGCGGTCGAGAGCTCCTTCAGTCGGGACTGGAGTTCCGTCAACGAAGACATTGTTATTAGTCGATGATAAGAAGACAATCACTCGTAGCGCATGTCATGGAGTTCGCGGAAATGCCCCACGCCCAATAGAGCAAAAATGTCGTGTATGTAAAGAAAGAAACGAAGAAGTATAAAGAGGGGGGTAAAATTGTCGATGTGTCCGTTCCTCAACGGCAACAGCGTCATCGGCTTCCCGTATCTACACGCCCCGTACGGAGAGATTCCCATTCATTCCTGAGGCATCCAGACTTACCACTCGGTGTTTGCATCTAAGACAAACACACACAGAGACAGCGACCGACACACCTCCCGAACCTCCGCCGGAATGATCCAAGCCTTGGTGTTTTGTAGATACAGCAAAAAAAATAAAAAACGGTTGAACTTGAGTGGTTTGATTTTCTTCATTCGATAGCTGCTGTGCGCGCAATTCTTCCTTCGCTTCCTTCTTCCCTCCTCAGATCATAATCTCCGTCATCAGTCGCAATCGCACCGAGGAAAAAAAAAGTCACCGTAAGTCCATCGCATAACCCCCCCCCCAAGAACAACCCAAGTATTCTAACCCAATATACCAACGCAGCCCCATCTCACCTTTTCTAATACAACGAACAAATCCAAAATGTCCATCCCAATCGCCACCATCTCCACCTTCCGCACAACCTTCAACCCCTGGGCCCGCAGCGCCCGCCCCTGCCGCCTGCTGCTCTCGCTGCTCCGCAACCCCTCGACCGTCCCGGCCTCGAGCGGCACGCACATCGACATCAAGGTGACGCAGCTGCCGCGGCACTCGACCAAGCCGGCCGAGCTGGTGGTCGGCTTCAAGAACGGGAAGGAGGTGAGCATCCCCGTCGGGGAGCGGGAAATGCGGATCGGGGATGTCATCGAGGAGATTGCCCGCGTAGGACGCGTGATTGAGCGCGAGGAGACGTTGAAGGGTTGATTGGTATTCTGGCGGTCTGTTTCTGCTCTGGATCAAAGGTTGCCTTGGTTGGGGATTGGAGTGAAAGATGAATGAAGAAGCAAGCAGGGGACAATGGAGGAAGGGTGTGTATCAGAACTATTGCGCCGGATATCTTACGGCCCTGGAGGATGTCGGGCTCAATCTTGGTGCTTCTGTCCTTGAATATTTGGACACGCGCAATGCTATCGCGGCATACGGGAAAGTCATCAGGACTTTGTTTCGCGACCTGTATCATCTATCATGTTGTTCAAGTACATGTGTATATACCAGCTACTGATTGTTATTGTTTTATTTTATTTTTTATTTTGTATAGACCAGCCATTCTCCAACTGACATGATGGCGGCCGCTACGATAAATAAGGTTCGTAAGAAGAGAAATTTGAATGTATAGATCACCCGTAGGTGGGGGAATAAGTTTCGATTTTAGGGTTTGTACAAATTTAGACAGCTTAGACAGCGGCACCGGAGATGAAGAACCACTTGTCAACGCTGCCGTCAATGGGGGCAGGAGGAAGGTTCTCGCCCTTGGGGATGCTGGCGAGCTTGGAAGCGTCGGCGCGCTCAACACCCTCGTAGGTGCTGGTAGCACTAGAAGCGGGTCAGTCAAAACTTCTTTGTAGATGGAATCAGGGATAACGTACATGCTGACATCACCCTTGGGGGCCTGGCCGGAGATCAGCTTCTCCCAAGCATCACGGCACTCGCGGATGACCTCCAGAGCGTACCTGCAATGAATTAGTACAACGATTATATGCATCAACCATTGAATGGAAACGTACTTCTGGTTCTTGCACTCGCCGGAGAAAGCGAACTGGTTCTCGGGCTTTCCGTCGGGGATCTTGTAGATACGGAACCACTCGTTGGTGGCACGGAGAAGACCGGGGAGATGACGCTCAACGTCCTCAACGTCGTTCAGCTTGGCAGCGAGGGGGTCCTTGATGTCGATGACAATGACCTTCCAGTCGGTCTCCTCCTCGTCGAGCAGGGCCATGACACCGAGGACCTTGACCTGCTTGACCTGACCGGGATAGCCGACAAGCTCACCGATCTCGCAAACGTCGAGCGGGTCGTTGTCACCCTTAGCCTTGGTCTCAGGGTGGACGTTGTTGGGGTCTTCCCAGGTCTAAACAAGTTGTGAGATGATGGCGGGCCAAGGAGGGGCAACAGCGGGAAAAAAAAAACATACCTGGGGGAAGGCACCGTAGTTCCAGAGGTAACCCTTGTGGGGGAAGCAGTTACGGACGTAACGGAGCTTGCCCTTCTTCACATCCTGCTTGATGGGGTTGAGGAACTCCTCCTTGGAGATCTGGATGACAACAGGGGGTCAGTTGTGATGGTCGAGGGTGGACGTGGCGGGGTAATTATTGGGCCTGGGTACCTCCTGCTTGGCGTTGGTCCAGCGGGGGATCTCAACAACCATGTTGAAGATGTTGTTGGCCTCATCGGCGTAGAGGGGGATGTCGTGGAAGGGAGAGACGGGCTTGCCATCCTTCTCAATGTAGACACGGTGCTCCAGGGTGTTGGCCTGGCCGATCTTACGGACTGTGTAAGACATGGTGGGCGATTGTGTAGTAGCGGACACGGAAGAAAGGTGTCTAGCTAAAAGGGCAGTACGGTTTGAAGCGGACAAAACCGATGAACGAAGAGGGGAGGAAGAAGAAGGAGAGAGAGAAGAAGAGGAGGAGGACGAGGTAGCGGCGGGAGGAGGAGGAGGGGGGGAGGGGGCTTGTTTGGTGGGGGGAGCCAGCGTTGCGGATGTGCGACAAACGGACGAACAGCAAGACTCAGAAACAGTGCGGCGGGCGACTATCGGACTCCAGGCGGTGGGCAACCGGAGTGCTGACACTGGTCCACGACTAACCCCCAGGAACATTGAAATACGACAGCCTCAATGTAAAGTTTAGAGGTAGAGGGGATTTGATTGATAGGGTCGGTTTGTAAGGTATACACTCAGTAAATGGTTCTACCCCAGGGGATGTCAATTGTTATAACTAGAGGTGAGTCCAAGGAGGATGAAGGGATCGGGAAAGAAAATCGGACGGGAGCAGAAAAAAAAGACGCCAACCAAAACAACCTCGGACGCTTTCCTCCTTCTATCTCGGCAGCTGCTGCTGTCACGGCACCAGTATGGATGGATCTACGTATGCACCTCGAGATGTCCTGTCTCCCAGTATGTGATTCTGACCACCTGCAACTGAGGCTGTCACTACTTGTACACTTAAAATTGTGCATGAGTTTACCTAGGCTAGTGGCAACACCCTGCAGATGACACCATTTCCCTTGTGCCTTTTGTTCCTCTCTTCGGTGAGGACAAATACCCTGGCTGGCCTTGGATTGCACCCGCTCCACCAGTACCGTTCCACTTATGGAGTGGATTGTCCTTGGGTGGGTGGCTTCCTCCTTATTTTCAGTCTATGGATATCCTTGCATCTGTACCATTAAATCTTTTGGGGTCCATTTTACATGAATCAAGTTCTTGTACATTGTTCAATTGATTCAGTATCTTCCACATGTGCGCCATTGCCTCTTCAATCGTTCATCCCCTGCAATGTCAGCAGGTCTTGGCAGGTACTCCTTCGGGACGGACTAACTCTGCAGTCCGAAGTGAGGTGAATTTCCGCTGGATGAGTAAGCTGTAAGGCGAGAAAAACCTTATCGTGTATCACCACGTGATCCGGCACTTTTTCGTTCTCCGCCTCCATCTCGATCTAGAAACTCGATAAACTTCGTCTTCTTGACAATCCAGAATCTTCGGTCGTTCTCGCAGGTCAAAGCTAAAGTCGGCTTTACTACTTTGACTATACTGAAATTAGGCATCAAAAGCTCGAACCCCCCAAGAAATGCTATGCTAAGCTTCCTACGACCCCTCCGCTCCGCAATGACCTCGATTCCTCGTGTTCCCATCCCCGCCAACGGGGTCGACTACCGCGGCAAAGTCGTCCTGGCTCCGATGGTGCGCTCCGGTGAACTTCCCTGCCGCCTTCTCGCCCTCAAGTATGGCGCCGACCTCGTTTGGGGACCCGAGACCATCGATCGCGCCCTGGCAGGTGCCGTCCGCCGCGTGAACCCCCGCAACGGCACCATCGAGTTCACTCGCACCCCCTCCAATGGCGGCCGCACCGAGAAGGCCACCCAGGAGTCCGTCATCTACCGCCTCGATCCCGTCCGCGAGAAAGGCAAACTCATCTTCCAGATCGGCACCGCCACGCCCGAGATCGCCGTTGCCGCCGCCAAGCTCGTGGCCGGCGACGTCGCGGGCATCGACGTGAACTCCGGATGCCCGAAGCCCTTCAGCACCAGCGGCGGAATGGGGGCCGCGCTGCTCAGAACCCCGGACAAACTCGTCGCGATCCTCGAGACGCTGGTGCGGGAGGTCGGCAACCCGTACCAGATCGGCATCTCGGTCAAGATCCGGCTGCTGGACCGGGAGGACCCCGAGCCGACGCGCGCGCTGGTCTCGCGACTCGTCAAGACCGGCATCACGGGGCTGACCATCCACTGCCGCACGCCGCCCATGCGGCCCCGCGAGCGCGCCATCCGCGACCAGCTGTGCATGATCCGGGATATCTGCCACGAGGCCGGGGTGGCGTGCGTCGTCAACGGCGACGTCGCCAACAAGGACGACGGCCTGGCCCTGATGCAGGAATACGGGGTCGACGGCGCGATGATCGCCACCGCAGCCGAGGCGAATATGTCCGCCTTCCGTACGGAGGCTGAGGGCGGCCTCCTGCCCTGGAAGGAGATGGTCCACGACTACATGCAGTTCTGTCTCGAGTCCGAGAACCGCTTCGGCAACACCAAGTACCTGCTGAACATCTTCGTGCCGGGCAAGTCCCCCGAAGCCCACCGCTTCAAATCCGCCCGCACCTACGTCGACACCTGCCATGCCCTGGGCTTCGAGGACCTGGTCCCCGCGGCGACCCGCGTCGACGAGATCCTGGGCCTCGCGGACAAGACCACGAACAAGAACAACGACACCAGCGATGCCGTCAGCAAAGCCGTGCAGAACGCTCTCGAGAAAAATGAAACCGCTCGCGCGGCCGGCGGCGGCGGCGGCGCCTCGCGCTCGAAACCCGCTTCTCCCGTCCTCTCCCACGCCGGCGGCCCGATTCGCACCAACTCCATCCCTCCCCCTACCAAAACTGTCACGGACATCGACCCAGCGGCTGCTGCTGCTGCTACTGAAGCCGTCGCTGCCCCGAAACAGGAACTCGCCGCATAACTCCCGCCCGCACAGTGTTCCATCGCATGATTTATCCCTGCGTATTAACCCCTCATGTATCTACGCCTTTGTTTGCCTTTCTGTATGAACTCGTTCTCTGCGATTGCATTGTCCGGTGTTGAAGATTGCTCTCGGTTGGTTTGGCTTCTGTTGCTTTGTGCTTAGAACTTCTAGATTCCCACCTTATGTTCTTTAATTGAAAAGGCACATACTCTCCTTTATCCTTTATCAGAACCAGGAAAACTGGATAGACCCTCAACCCCAGGCAGCACAATAGACCACTCACCCAGTCGAATGACTGTAGCCAGAGGCAATAGCCTTCTGAACAAAGAGCAGGACCCTGGAATCCGGCAAACCCGACCACCAAGAACTAGGAGGAGAACGAGAATGGATCACAAGCACGATCATACCATTACCGTCCTGACCTCGCTTCTAGTATCTAACTCTCAAAGAATGAATCTAGTCAACCGGGACAGTGAGGAATACAAAGGCACAGCGACAAGCAATTGTCAATTGTCATTGTCATCATGATCGCAAGGCGAAGAAGCATGGCGGTCATCGCATGCGTAATCATCGCCCGTTGGGCACACCTGTTTTCAGTCGTCATTCGGTTTCTTTCTAGCTCTATTTCCGCCTCGTTTGCTTCTTGAGAAGTATGTGTATGTATATGTTCCCATTCAACAGGGAGAAAGAGGAGGGGAATAAACGAAAGGGACGAAGGGGGGAGCAGCAGCAGGACCGCGGTGCACGCAGCAGACAAAAAAACTCAGAAACGAGGAGATTGCATGGGGCGAGTTAGGGGGAGGTGTAATTGCGCCGACAGTGTATCCTTAATCTGAATATGATGAAAATGCACAAGACACCAGTCACGAAGAATGGAGAACCATCGAAACAGATTACCACAAATGGTGTGAACACGATCAACGCAGAAAGGTTCGCTTATTAGATGTGTGTAAGATTCCGTCATCTGCAAGGCCCCAGGAAAGGGTTCCTCTTTCTAAACAAGAACGTAAACGTCAAACAGAACTCGCCAAACCGAGTTCTCCGCATTGAACAAGCGTATCATCACAAACGGCAAAGGGAAAAAAAAAGTGAAGTACTAGTGTCATAAACAACAAAGTACAACCGGAATGTCTATCATCAAACCAATCCCAAGCTCTCATATGCAAACGCAACAATCATGACTTGTGCTCCATATCCGCGAGAACCATGTTCTCGACCGCCTTCATGCCCGCGTCTTCCGCCTTCTTGGATTCGGCGGCGTCCTCCCCGGCCACGGCCTGGTCGAGGGCCAGCTTCGTCTGGCCGAGCGCGTAGATCTGCTCCTCGATGGTGTCCTTGGTGACAAGCCGGATGACCTCCACCTCGCGGGTCTGGCCGACCCGGTGGGCGCGATTTTCGGCCTGGACGTCTTCCTGGGGGTTGAAGCTGGAGTCGAAGATGATGACCTTGTTGGCGCACGCCAGGTTGATACCCGCGCCGCCGGCCTTGGTCGATAGGAGGAAGACGGGGATGTCGGTGCGCTCGTGGAAGGCATCAAGAATCGACTGCCGGTCTTCGACGTTGGTGCGGCCGTCCAGGCGCACGAAGCCGAGGTGTTCGTGCTCCAGCACGTTCTCCAGGATATCCATCACCATGGTGAACTGCGAGAAGACGAGGGTCCGGTCGCCCTTCTCCTGGAAGCGCCGGAGGAGCTCGCAGAGCTTGGCCACCTTGCCCGAGTCCATCCATTCGTTGTTCTTGAGGGCGAATCGGCTTAGTGCCGGGTATTTCACGCACATCGAGTGGCATTCGTAATCGTTGTAGGGTTGAAGTTCCTCGAAAATGATGTCTGGGTTGGATAGGGAGAACTGTTCTTCTCTCAGGCAGGCCTTGGCCATGCGGCTGAGAATGGAATCGGTGTAGTGGCGTCTGTACAGCAATGGGTGAATGGCTGCTTGGCGGAGTTTCATGAGGATGTTAGCAGATTTGTTGCCAGTTTTCTTGCCCGCGGCGCGATCGGCCAGCAGCTTCCGAACTTCCTCCTGTTCATGCTCGTAAATTTGTCGCTGCGCGTCGTTCAGTTCGCAGTACTCGACATGGGAGATCTTTGCAGGCAGATCGATGACCTGGTGCTTCTTGCGTCGTAGCACAAAGGGCTTCAGCATCGATTTCGCGCGTTCAATGCGCTGCGCAGAAAGCAATGCGGAGTGTGACTCGTCGACAGTCTTCGCTTTGTTCGCAAAAATGTGGTGGAGCTCATCCTTGCGCTCGCGGAACACTTTGGGAAGAATAAATCCCAATAAGGAAGCCAGCTCTTGTAGGTTGTTCTGTAATGGCGTACCCGTCAACAG